CCGCGACCGACGAGGCGCGGTTGATGAGTCGGCAACGTGAGATGATCACCCTCGCCCTGCGCTCGACGGAAAAGCAATATGATTACGAGGCGCCTACTCGTCTGCAGGGCGGCGGTTGGGATGAGGAGGGGGACGAGGATGGGTCCTGGGCCAACCGCCGCACCGCTGATCGCTCCTTTCGGCGCTTTTTTAAGAAGTTTCAGCAGGTGGTCGAGAGCTGCGATGTGCTGCTTCAGGTCGTGGACGCGCGCGACCCGCTCGGTTGTCGACTCACACAACTCGAACAGACCATCCGCTCAACCTACGGCGAGGATCGTAAGAAGATCGTCATCGTGCTTAACAAGGTCGATATGCTCCCTTCCAGAAGGGTGGTGGATATGTGGATTCACTACTTCCAGTCCCATGAAAACATCGCCTGCATTCCATTCTCTGCCACCGCGAGCGGAGCTACCGGACAAAGCTACGCACACGAGCTTTTTAAACAACTTCGGGCATTGGCTCGCGGCGGGGGGTCTGAGGATCGCAAATCGATTGTTGTTGGTGTGATTGGCTACCCCAACGTTGGCAAAAGTTCGATCATCAATGCGCTTAAACGAAAGAATGTGGTAGGGGTCGGAAATATGCCAGGCTTCACGACAGGAAACACCGAGGTGGAGCTGCGTTCTGATATTCGTATCATGGACTGCCCGGGGGTTGTTAGTCCCGGTGAGGATAGTGGCGATGTGGTCCTGCGCAATGCGGTGCGTGTTTCAGACCTCGCGAATCCATTTGCCCCGGTCCAGCGTCTTTTGGAGCGCTGCACGGCGGTCCAAGAGGTGATCGACTCGGACGACGAAGACGCACACCACCACCACACGCTGAGGGAATCGGGGGTTCACCCGCTCGCGGCGATCTATGGCATCGGGTCCTTTCCGGCGAATGACGTTATCGCCTTTATCCATCTCGTCGGGCTAAGACGGGGTCGTCTTAGCAAAGGAGGTCAGGTCGACGAGGAGGCCACCGCTCGGATGATTTTAAGTGACTGGAATGATGGGCGAATTGCGTACTACACCTATCCGCCCAAAGTGGACGATATTTTTACGCGCTCGAGCCATGACTACAAGGCGTTGCGGGGGCGCTTAGCAAACGAAGTCAGCAGTGCCAAAGATGAGGAGGCCCCGCAGCTCGTGTCGAACCTAGAGAGCGGCATCACGATGGATGGCCTACCTGTTTTCCACCTCAGACTGAGTACAGCATCAACAAATGCTCACAATCGGAAGAAAAAATGGATCCATCAATATCATGCTGAAGAGGAGTTAAGTGAACAAGACACGGATGAGGAGCTGTAGTTCGATGGGATTTCTTCCATCATATAGGCGATTTTATTAAATTTATTTAACTTATTTGCCTTCCGATTACTTTCGATTAATTAAATACAAGGATTGGCTAGTATGATGATTATTTTACTCTCTTAAAATTTTCCAATTTATTTTTATCTAACTCGTCTCAGAGGTTAGATGAAACCCGATATTTTTTTGCCCCTTATTGTCATTGGTTGTAACATTCTTTTTTTTTCTGTCCTTTATGTAATATATTCTCTATTATGGCCTCAATTCATTTGATTTAGGCCTTAGAGAGGGAAAAAGTATTAAAGGAGGCGTATATAGGTGTAGCTTGTTGTATTATCATTTTCTTATCTTATCTGAAAGTATAGCCTAACAACAATGTACCACGACGCACCCATCGAGGCAGCCATGAGTATGGTCCACCGCAGACATCGTAGAGCCCACAATACGCCATCTGGATTATTTATCTCCGAAGCTGCTGATTCCAAGCAACTTCAGGAAGTTCTTGATTTTTTACTTAGTTCTACTCAAATCCAAGGACCTGGCGCCCCCATGATGCGCATCGCCCTGCAGTTCCCCGATGAATTGCTCGAGGATGCGCCTGCGGTAGTCCAGGAGTTGGAAACACGCTTGTACAACGACCCACGCTACCCAATGCTTCAAAAACGGTTTATGGAGTCTCAAAACGTGTCGAATGGGGTCGTGGAGGGAAAGGAAGGTGCCCCGGCCTCGGGCCCTCCCACGATCGCACGCCCTTCTGCCACATCCACGTCCACATCTCTTGCCGTCGGCCGGCCCGCGTTGCGTCCGGCGTCTTTGCCGAGCACCCATCCCCTCCCAACACCCAATCCGAACTCCCCCACGGGCGTTCGTTTTTTTATTTTGGCGGATTCGACATTCGGGAGTTGCTGTCCCGACGAGATCACGGCCCAACACTACCAAAGTGACCTTATTGTGCATTTTGGCGACGCCTGCATGAGCCGCTCAACCCGACTGCCCGTGATCTACCTCCACCCCCCCTTTAGCTTTCATTGCATCCGACGGTCAGACGCCCGGAGTTTGGGGATTTTACCCGCCCCGGGCGGCGACGTTTCCTCGAATTTGCCCGGCATCCCAGGCGGCCCGGCAGAACCCGCGGCGGTAAACCTCGTCGTGGGGATGCTCGATCGCGTGCGGGGTGCTCTTCGACAAAATATTCACGAATGGCATGCAGGACCTACGCCGCGGGATCAATTCGCTTCCCTGGAGGACGCCCCTCCCCTGAGGGCGCAGCTGGTGGTAGTGGGACCACATTCCGTCCGGGGGCTTTTAGAGGCCGCGGAAAGCCAATGGCGAAGCTCGGCGCACGAGGAGGAGGAAGGGGTTTGTGTGGTTTGGTCCCGATTTATCAACTGCGATGCCCGCCTGATCGTCAAATCCCCTCGCGCTGACGTCGACGTCGTGATGGACAAGACCACTGAACATTTAACACCGCAGCCTTGTCCATCCTGCGAGCCGCTAAATAACTCGTCAAGAGATTCGACGGAGTGGATTATTAACGGGGTTTGCTTCCCACGACTTCCTTTTCATGGAGAATCCGAGTCTGCGAGCCGCCCTGCGGGTGCTCCTCTCACGGTCCAGTATTTTCTTTATGTCGGCCCCAGTGATGGCCCTCATTTAGTCCATCTTCTCGGGGTCCACGAGTACAATAGGTTTCACTACTCCGAGGTGGAGCGCGAGTTTTTTCTCCGCGAACAGGGCCCCACAGGCGATGCCAACGCGCGATCGGCGATGCCGGTGTTATCGGTTCTAGATGAACATTTTGCCATCGCGGCGGCGTCGTCGGTGAATTCGCCTTCTTACACAAAAGAGGTGGGAAATGGACCCGTAGGCGTCCTCGACCCTGCTGCCTCCCCCGAAGTCGTCGATCACTTTGTTGAGGAGCGGATTTGCACGAATTCGGATGCCGACCCTCTGAAAAAACTTCTCTGGACCTCCTTTTCCACCACGGCCGAAGCTCAATTCAAGCGTCGCCAGCGCCAGCGGGATTTTAATATCGAAGTGGTGCGCAGCAGCTCCGCCGTCGGCATTCTTGTCGCCTCCCTCGCCATCGAGGGCTACTACGAGCTCACGATGCTGCTCCACCGCCTGCTTCGACGCTGCGGAAAGCGGGCCTACGTCATTTATATTGGCCACCTGAATGAGTTCAAACTCGCCAATTTCGAATCCACCGTGGATAGTTTTGTCGTGGTGGCCTGCCCGAACAGCCGGGGTTGCCATTTCCCAAATCGCGAGGATCGCTATCTTCGCCCGGTGGTCTCCCCGGCCGAGGTGCTTCTCGCCCTCACCGCGCGCGGGCCGTCTTCTTCGCAATACGGCCTTCCCACGGCCTTTCATACCGGGTTTGATTCCATTCTTCCCCCTCTTCGGGCGGCCGTGGAGGAGTTCACCCCAGGGCCCCACGAGGACGCCACGCGAAAAGAACCCTCGGACTGGGTGGAGAGCGCGGCGTTGGTGCGAATCCCGGGAAGTCGGACGGTCATGGCCGGGGACGCCGCTTCGGCCGCTCACGGGGCCCTCGCGCGACTTCACGAACGCGCCTTTTTCGGGCTCGATCCCTGCCTTGGAAAGACCGCCGTGCAGACGTCCGTGGGGGAAGGAAAGTTTGGGATTGCGCGAGGCTACCAAACGGAACGTGCCCAGCAAAATCCCGATCCCGCCAACGGACCGGCAGGATGAGCGGAAAATGTCGTTTGGGCGATATAGGCGAAGGCAAGACGGGTGTGAGAAACATCCGGGTGTTCTTTAATGGTTTTAGGGTCGTGTACCTTCTTTACGCATGCTGGATTGGTTTTTAATCTTTTGGAGAAAGGTGTGCGTATTAATAATGATAATAAATATATATTAATGATCATACGCTAGAATAACACGTAAGGATATACACGTGCATTCAGGACTGACTGTATTGTGATAACTGACTGAAGAGGAAGTTCTTTTTTTATTATTTGTAGAGTAGAATGAGTAATATGACATTACTCGTATTTCTTTTCAAAATAATAATTCTTTGCGAAAGTTCGTAGAATCTTCGTCTTTAGCATGATTTACTTTTCCTGTAAGTACTCTTGCATGATATCTGCTCTTAAATTAGTCTTATATGACTTCATGTGACTAGTGTCATGAAAAAATGTGACCTACACTTAAGACACAGCAGGAAAAACAATTGATATGACCATTTCACTAGTTAAAGTTATTATATAGCATTTGTGATACTATTTTCAACCTTTTAGCATTCTTCCCTTTGTTATCTACCAAAAGGTATCCAAACAAGAGATTGGAAAAGTTTTCTTGGGGAGATTTACTTTCAAAAAATCCATTCTTAACACCCCTTTTTAGTATTACATTGACTAAATCACATCGCATCGGAAGTCACAAATCGAGCAGTGAGATATTATAAGTCTGTCTGATTGAATATTATTAGAGTTACTTGTTTCCGTGTGCGCAAGTTCGGAGTGTCATTGAGAAAATCAAAGATTAACGCTTATTAAGTAACTTAGTCATTGATATTTTCGGGAAAGGTTAGAGTGATCTGCATTCCTTTTATCTACCAATGTTATCGGATTGTTGGTTGCTTTCGGATTTAGATGGAACCCTTATCAGCACCCCCCACAAAGCGCAAGGGAAATATCCACCCATCACACAAAGCCCTTGTTTCCATCCTATTCGACGCTGGCTGATGAACGGCGGCAATGTATGCATCATTACCACTGCAGATCTACGCACGTTGGACCAGATCTATTTTCCTTTGCAGCCACACCTTCCACAGGGCAGATTTGGTGATTGTCAACAAGACACAGAGAAAGGTGGCAACGGTAATCCAACCATGCTCAAGCGAAGTATTTCCCATCCTTCTGACACATCAGACTCCAGCTCCGATCCTCACCAATCCACCAAGGATCTTCTGCCTCTTTCAAACCAGAATAATGAGAAGTCTGAATCTTTCTGTCAGGGGACACTATTATTGAGCTTATATTCAGGTGCCGCGTTGTACCGCTGTACCCCCAACTCAGTCGAACTTGTGAAGGATTATGTCAATTCCACCCATTACGCAATAAACGATTCTGCGGATCTGCTAAAATCTTGTGAAACGCCAGAGGGACCAATGCGGTGTGAGAACAAGGGGGAATCTGGGGGTGGCAATGGACCTTCCAACGCAGCGAATTATGTGCAAGGGACGTGCATTACTAGATGTGTGAGCGAAACGCTTTTGGTTCATCTAACCAAGATATACGAATCCTACATATATGATCTTCTCAGAGGTGAACCGGTCGTTGTTGCGGCCTCACAACGACTTTCTCATCGTTATCAGCTAATGTGGAAGATGATCTTTCGTTATTTGGATGATCTTTACCAATGTGTGTGTGAGACGCGTTGTGTGGAGAAGCCGGTATTTGCGAGCGACAACGACTTCACTGAAAGTTTGTCCACTGTGCCAAAGGATGAGGAAGCGGTGTTGTGGAAGATGCGCTACCTCCACTCGCGCCCGGATCTTCTTATTAGTCTTGGGGTGTTGCGGGTAGAATGTCTAGTCGACAGCACCTTCTCCAACCTTGCGTGTGGGCCCTTGGATCCCTGTCAATCTGAGCCCACCAAGGACCAGAGCTCCCTGATCCACGCCATCACGTCCCTGCTGCTGCAGGACCTCCCGCAGGATGCGGCGGAGGTCCTGGAGCCACGGGCCAGGGCCTTTGCGTCGCACATGGTCCACGCGCTTGGGGTGGACCCGGGGTGTTTGGGGAAGCGCCGTGCCAAGTCGGACGCCGCGCGGGTGGATGTGGCACAGGTCATCCTCCTGGGGGTGCCGCTGGGGTTGTATTCCCGGTACTTCGTGAAGTCCATCCCCGAGTTCGTCCGGATAGGGGTGCATATCATGCCACAGCCCAACAGTGTCGTCTTCTCCAAGCTCGGGATTAACAAATCCACCGTGGTGCAGTACCTGCTCGGGTACCATTCGAATCCCAACCGATCGCCACGGTGGAAGGCTGGGGTCAGGGGCTTATCCTTGCCTCGTAGCCCCTGCGGAATGCCTCCCGTTTCCACTGTGAGGGTCATCGCCCTTGGGGATAATCCCCACACCACAGATTACGGACTTACCGTCTTTCGTAAGGTGAGGTTTATCTCGGTCGAGAAGATCGCACAGCGAGAGGAGCGGCATCAGCGAATTGAACGCCGCTTGAGCCGAACACGGATGTTAGAGGAGCTCGGAGAGCGGCCATGCATGCCAGACGGCTCCCCAGCGCCGTCTTTCAAGGAGCTCGTGGCATCGCTAACCAGGTGTGGGCCTTTAATGGATGATCGCCTGTTCAAAAATATTGCTTATGTTGGCAATGAGGAAGACGGCACCGCCCTCTTCTTGACTTCTCTCATGGATGAACTTAAGGTGCCGTCCTTTAGTGCATCTACTAATTTTTATCGTAAATCAAGCGCTAGATTTGTAGATTCTGAAACATTTACGGCGGCTCTATCTAAAGCGGTGAGTTTTGCAAGTTGTGAAGGTCGACTAGGGAAAGTTAAATCTAATCTTTGAAAGGATGTAAAACCCCAAAGGTTGTAAAGGTGACTGAACACTAGTTTATATACATAATGACTTTGACCTATGTTGGAAGTATATCTATTGCTCTAATAAAAAAGTCCGCTCGTCTTACAAGCAGTTTGAAGGTATCCACAATTATTACTCACAACTAGAGTCTCATTTTTTAAGAAAATGAATTGATTTCACATCAATACATCGTCAGATGATATTTGTCTGGTGATTAAAGAAAAAACACAAATAATGGTAAACTAACCAGACAATTTGTAGTCTTTTACCCAGATATTGTTTGAGGAGTTTCAAAAATAAATATATTGATTTTTGTTGTTTTCTAATCCTCAAATGATTTTGAATTGATGGGCCAATTTTCAAATTTTTTTTCGGTTTAACAATAACAGCAAACCGCACACTCTTTTTTTAATTCTCATACTTTATAATTATTCGTTAACTTAATTATAAAGCCCTTTGTATATTCTATTACAATGAGTACTTTAAGTACTTTTCTTTTTGTATTCAAGCCTCTCTTTTTCATTTTTATTTCTAGAAAAGAAAACAAGCCATTATTCAAAAAGCCTTTTCTGAGTATTCTCATCTTCATAAATTTTAAAAAATGTCTGACTATCCACCAGATAAGCTTCCCCTTGCACCACAAACATCTACTATGCTTACACAACCAATTAAAGCCCAGGCATCTGGTCGAGACAAGATGCCTCCCTCTGGAAATGTGTCTCATCGATCCCATACATCTGCTCACGACAAGCCGTACGTCCCTGGAAATGCGTCTCATCGATCTCTGGCATCTGGTCGAGAGAAGATTCCTGCCTCTGGAAATGTTTCTCAGCGATCCCATACAGTTACTATCGAGAAGACGTCCGCCCCTGGAAATATTTCTCAACGAGCCCAATCATCTGCTCGCGACAAGCCGTCCCTCCCTGTAAATGTGTCTCATCAATCTCTGGCATCTGGTCGAGAGAAGATTCCTGCCTCTGGAAATGTTTCTCAGAGAGTCCAAATATCTGCTCGCGACAAGCCGTCCCTCCCTGTAAATGTGTCTCATCAATCTCTGGCATCTGGTCGAGAGAAGATTCCTGCCTCTGGAAATGTTTCTCAGCGATCCCTTACATTTATTCCCGAGAAGACGTCCGCCAATGGAAATGTTTCTCAGAGAGTCCAAATATCTGCTCGCGACAAGCCGTCTATCCCTGTAAATGTGTCTCATCGATCTCTGGCATCTGGTCGAGACAAGATGCCTCCCCCTGGTAATGCGTCTCAGCGATCCAATACATCGGTTCCTGACAATTCACCGATTCATGGCAATCCTTCTCACCAATCCCCGACATCGCTTCCTGGCAAGACGGTTCTCCATAGAAATACCTCTCAGCGATCTTTTACATCCGCTCGTGACGCCATGCCTGCCACTGGAAATGCCTCGCATCGCTCTTTGGGTTCTGCCCACGAAAAGGCGTCCATCCCGGTAAATACGTCGCATCGGTCCCTGGCATCTGGTCGAAACAAGCCATCGGGACCTGGAAATGGGTCATTTCGATCCCAGCCCTCTCTCCATGCCAAGTTACCTGTTCATGGCGGTATCTCCCAGCGATCGCTTCGGGAGCGAGCGTCGAACCATGAAAACGCATCACGCGGATCTCGCACCCCTGTTGAGTTCCGACGCGATATCACAACGCCGATGTCCGAGAACCGTTCGTTCGGCGTGAACGGGGCTCACGAGCAGCCTCTTGAGCGGGAGGCTCGCTTGCGGGCAATCATGGAGGAATTTGATTTGGATATGTCCTCCCTTCTCCCTTTGAATGTTTTGCAGAGGGAGCGCGTCAAGCTTATCGAGGAAGTCCAACACCACAAAGACGAGCAGGACTCCTTATCACTGGATATTGAAGGCTTGGAGGGTGTGGTCGAGCTCCACAACACCGCCGCTCGTCTGCATCGCCTGGAGAACTTTGTGAACGCGAGCTCAGAGTATGTGGAAATGGACCTACCGGACGAAATCCAACGGTTCTTGGAGGATGACCGAAGACGCTCCGACGAGGAGGTCGCTGCGTACTCCCAGGAGCTGGACTCTAGGCGGGAGAGAATCTTGGAAAAGGCTGCCGCTGCGAAGGAGAATACCGCAAAGCTGGCAAGCAAACATGTCCAGCACACGGATCCGAATATTGATGATGGTAACGAAGATGCCATTCAACATGTGGATGGAAACATGGGCATGATACCCATGCTGAGCGATAAGCTAAAGAAGTTCCGCACACTCAAGAGCAAATTTCTTGCTGAGTTGGCACGCGAAAAGAAGGACTCTGCCATGACGGAGAAGACCATCAACATTCAGATTAAGAACACCGAACTTTCCAACGCCCGTGACCTTCGGCTCTTTAGGGAGCTCAACTCGAGCAACGCCAGCCTCATTGCAAACATCCAGATGCTTATGAACCAGCTAAATGTGGAGCACTATGGCATGGACAACATCCCAACCGCCACCCAACTAGTGGAGGAGTGCAATAATCGTATGATCATGTTGGGGAAAACTCCTGTTAACTCGGAAGATGATCTGCCAGCGCATGAACTCCCGGCGCGCACGTCTGTGCAACAGTCCGCGCGAAATGGTGGTTCTTCGGTGCACAACACGTCTTCGCTGGATAGGCAGTCGGTACCCGCACCACTGGTGCGGGCGAAGTCGCAGGGAAGTCGCTACAGTGAAGGCTTTGAAAAGGTGGTGCCGACCCCACATGAGAAAATTAACTCACAGCGTGGTAGCATGAATATGTCTCGGCTTTCCGAAAAGCCTCTGGAATCTGTCCGTAGTCGTGCATCCGCCGAGGAATCCCGTAAGGCGAGTCTGGTGTACTAAATGACTCAATATTATTGAAAACGTTGAAGAAACAAGCCATTCCAATATCAAAGCTTCTATTTCACGTATAATTATGTTCATTCGGCTCCCTTTTTATCAAACATAGAACTATTGCAGGGGAAAACTATATATTTTTTAGGAAAATCAATATTATACACAATTATTAGGTTATCTTGATATATGCTCTGAAAGGAGAATTCCCACCTTCAGCACTCTGTAATAAGTTTTACTAAGCAGAGTATCAAGCTCCAGTTGATGTTACACATCTAGGTTATTGTGTACTATTTTACTTAAATATATTTTGTTATAATAATTGAGCAATTTTGAAGTTGTAGTTTATATCAAGTATTGTTACCTTTAATATTCTTATATGAACGAATCTGTTGTTATGGAGAAGAAAAAAAAATTTAGTGTACGAAAATATTGGGATATTAATATTTACGGAGGGGTTAGATTTTTTTTCCCAGTTAAACAAAAATGGATATAGCAATTTCATTATTATTATGTCATTTGTTGTTTTATAAGGATAGTGTCTATTTGTGTGTTTTTTTTATTGGGTAAATAAAAATCAAAACGACCCATAGAATTTTGTTGGGTTGTATATATTTCATTAATGGGCGGCTTGGATATTTTTATGAACCTTGATTACTTGTGCGTTTCGTTTTATTTGTGCAAAAAAGTGAAGGCGGTCAAATCAAATTCCGAATAGCTATATAATATCGAATGAAAAATGGAGAATTTAGTTTTAAAGTAATTTACGACAATTTATTGGATTTTTTACAAGGAAGAAATACATACATTGAGTAATCAAAGAAGAGGGAAAAGAAGAGATTATAAAAAAGCAATATATCGAGCTGTATTTTTTATCTCTTCTGATTTCATGTGGAACAGACTCCTCTCTTTTGATTTTCATGTAAGTATTTTTTCTTGGTAATTAACATGATATATCGTACCTATATCCCTTTTTAAATATTCAAACTCAGTTTTTATTGTACGTACGCTCATTTTCTAGATACCATTTAGTCAAACCAAAGTGATGTAAGAACTGTAGTTTTGTAAACATAAAATTAGATAGTATCGCTATATTTTGAGATGTGTTGCTCCTTGTCCACTTTACTCTTCTCTTTCTTTTATTGATTCTGAGTTTAGTCCCATGTAAGTTAGAAAGTGGCAATATTAAAAGCATTAATCGTATCAATTTTAAAAATATTAAAAAAAAACTTCTAATCCCACTGAAAAAGTCCGCATCGCGCGCATGCTGAGCCTTGAATGCTTCTTTGCCAGGTTGCGACAGTGGCACCAGTCAAAGGACGGCTTCGCTTTCCTGGGCTCCAGCGAGGCGTCGCTCGTCCTCCTCGCCGCCTCCAACCTCGCGCCGCATGCGTGGGTGACACCGCGGGCCCCTCTCCTGGAGCCCCAGTGCCCCCGGGAAGGGCCCAGCCCCGGGGGCCCCATGACCCCTGTGACATCTCCCGCCCCTTCCCGGGTCGCCCTCGCGGTGGGGGCGGCCTGCTGTCACAACGTCTGCATCCTCGCGGAGGATGAGGTGCTGTCCCTGGCCGGGCTGTCGCGATCGCCGGTCATCCCATCCATCCTGCTCAGCGCCGGCGCCGAGGACGCGGAGGCGGAGCCGGAGCCGGGGGAACGAACGGGCCAGACCCGCCGGCCCAGCGCTGGGCCGGCCCAAGCCCTCGACACGCCCTATCTCCGCGTCGCCAAGTGTCTCCACGGCCTGCTCCGAAGGGCACACGCCGAGGACTGCGCGTGGCGAGGCCGGCGCCCTCTGCAGATGATCTTCGGCGCGGATTCGATCTTACGCCTGGACGAGTCCATGGTCGTGCGCGCTCGATGTGCTCCTATAACGGCTAACCGCATCCTCTCTCAGGACGGCGCGAAGGCGTCCTTTTCCTCTGGTCAAAAGCCCCGCGCGAAGCTGCTTTTACCGCGCGCTACACCCCCTAGTCTTTTATACCGGGACATCGACAAGGCCTTCGAACGGCTGATTGCCCCATCGCCTCCCTCTTTGGCGTACGTCGGCTCCAATACCCATGAACGTATTCTCGGACTCTTTTTCCCACCACCTTCTTGCGTGGGCCTGAAACGAGACCGGGAAGGGGTTGAACCCCGAAATTTGAAAGGGGCATGCTCTACCATGACAGGAGATTCAACGCCTGGCAAGGAGAACTTTCTCGAGTTGAGGACAGGGCGCGTGCGGGATGTGTGTTTGCTGCTCCACCTCTATGGTTACGTGCTGGAGGAAGCGGAAAGGGGATTTACGCCCCTCCCTTTAATAGATCAGCACGACACAGTTGAGGCCTTGGAAAGGATTCTATCAGCCACGGATGGAGATGGCACCGTGCAAAGGCTGGGAGGTTCTCCGAATGTGGATCCCCTGGAGAAGGATCGAACAAGCAAGGAAGAGGATACTGCCGAGCGAGTCCACGCCTTCCTAGGGAGTTGTCATTTTTGCTGTCGTTTCTGTGGAGGGCAGCCACCTGTCTGTATTGATAGTGTTGCCTCTCCAGAGCCCGATAATCCCACGCAGGCTCCGACAAAGACAGACCAAAAGTGCATATCTGAGCCCGTGCAGTCGAATGCGTGCCCAGTGGAGTCTGCAGGTGAAGTTGAGACGAACATCAATCCTGAGAATGAGAATGCTAAAGAAGTTCATGATGCCCATTCTCATGGTAGCGAAAATGCAAGTTGTGGATCTAATAGGTTCTGTAAAGACCTTGACGATGAAGAGAATATAGGGGCGAATCCTATTGAAGTGAATGAAGTTAACCTGACCCCTGAAAAATCGATTCCAGCTGAAGATGATTGTAGTGATTACTCCTCGTCATCCGAGGCAGGAGCGAACATATCTCAGCAGCGTTGCCCGTCCGTCATCACAATGTCATTCAGTGTTCGTGAACCCTTAAACGGCCACCGAAACTGGTGTCCATGGAAAACCTTATTTTTAGATGTCGTTCTTATGGGACTTAGAGGGGACGATGAAGGTAATGAAGCAAAAGCAGCACCTCTGCGTTGGGTTTACATGGATTTTAGTATAACCAACTCTAATGAAAGTGGGAAGGGAGATTTTGAGAGTGTAGAACACTCCGTTAAATTACCAACTCTGTTTCCAGGGACGGCCTTCAAGTGCGCCGGGGATCACAATGCAGGTGAAGCAGAGCCACACAATAAAATTAATGATATAGAACTAAATAAGCAGGATAGGAATACGCTACGCTTCCAACTTGTTCTTTCAGAAATGGAGCGACTTATTACCGTCTGGCGAGTTAGTGAAGACATTGAAAAGCGTTTTCGGTACTCATACTTATTGAACCCTTACCCGGATAAGGTGCAGCAGCTTAGCTGCCGACGCTCCTTGACAATCGTAGAGCCCGAAACGACTACTCACACCAACGTGAGTGAGTCTTCTTCTTCGGTTGCCATGGAGGCATTCCTCTCCAATTTACAAAAACGTTCAGACACCGGGGGTAATAATCCTGGAGCCGATATGAAGGGATCGTATCGAGCAGCTAGTCTCATTTATTGGCCAACAATGATGTCGAAGATGAGGTCCACTGGTAGCAGTGTAGGCGAGAATATCTTTGCGTTGGTATCCAAAGTGCTCCAGACGCTCCTGCGAGCTGAGGACTCTATGGGGATGTCGCGATCTATGGACGGCGATGGCACTGTGGATGGTAGAATCGGTGCCAATCCTATAACTTCAACTAAACAGCTTCCTGGCATCACTAGTCCACAGTTAACCACTCTTTTGGCCGAAGGACTTATGCTGCTGAGAAAGATGTCGTCCCCAGTCATACATCCCTCCATGAGCGGCACCGCCGATATCTCCTCGAAGCGGCAAGACTTGGAGAAACAGTGCGCGGATTTTATCGCCCGTATGGACCGCGAGTGCTTAACGAAAATTTGCCACTCCAAAAGTACCGAGAACGGCGTATCTGGAAGGGATCGAGTGACCTTGGATGTCCTACAGAAACTTGTGAAGCCAACTATCACACTCCTTTATCACGACCACCTTTCGCCTGCTAATAGTGTCGAGAAGCCATCTCAGGCGCCACCGCCATTAGGGACTTTGTCTATCGAAGCTACAAGAGCGGGCGTTGGTATTGCGGTCGACGAAAATGATCGCAGCAACGGATCAGTTGTTCAAACTCAAGCAACTGTAGTGAGTGATACGGACAGCAGTCTAGGCTTTCGTAATGGTAGTTCACCAACTGGATGGTTTTGGAGTCCAACATCTCTGGAGGATGCGAGGGGCACCGTCGAAGACTTTTTAAACCAGCTTCGACTTCAGCAACGTCGGAAAGTTACACCGACCGCGCCTCATGAGCCGCAGAAACCTTCGACTAAAGTTTCAAGGCCCTTGTCCAAATTTGCCCTTTCGGACGACTCAACCCTTCAACACGATGCCTCGGACTCCTTAGCATCAGGGCCATATCCGCATACCGAGCAACTTGTGAATGCATTACCCTCTTCGTCGGTACATTTTTCAAAATCCTTGGAGTCTGATGCCCATCATGGGGTGGATTCCTCAACAATTATCGACACCCAACCTACCGTATTTGCCGTTCCTGGTAGTGCCCCAGTTCCTGTAAATGCGTTTTCTAACATCTCATCGAGCACCGAGTGGAGAGAATCCTCTATATTTCAAACTGAAACCTTGTCATCTGTTCGGGGAAGTACCGCGGCAAGATTGCCTACTGGTGCCCACCACCCTACTCCTACTCCCACTCCTTCTGTAGATTCTTCGATTCTTGGATCGACTCCATTTCAAGAAACTCAGTCGAGACGAGGGCCTCAGGTTTCACATCGCCAGTTTCCCTATAAACAATTCCGGCGGCCATTGCCTCATTCCTCACAGAAACAAATGCCATTTCTATCCCATCCTTTACCACAGGACTCGTTTTCATTCGGATACCCTTTTAACACGAATGAATTTCAGCCTTCGTTTACTCCATTAAATAAAGACATGTACCTGCCAAGAAGCGCCAGTGTGGTCATGGGAACGCATAAATCTGATGGTGGTGTTTTTTCGATCTCAGACGAGGACCCCAATGCGGCGCCGCCAGCTATGCAGGATTCCTTTTCGCTTCCCCACCCTTTCCCTGTTCCCCATACGCGTATGCCCATTTTTTCGAACCCTGGTAATGAGCACTATTATTCCACCCCTGCTCCTTATACTTCTGGATTATATTCTCAGGAAAACCAAGGTATTTTGGATGGCGATCCTAATATTGCTACTCTGCAGTCTGAGAAACAGCTGCCATCCCAACCTCGTCGATCCCGTCGGGGTGGGGGTGCAGTTGGACGCCGCCGAAGAATGGGAGGTCGGGGCGGTAATGTTTAGAGAGAAATTTAGAATAACCTTAGAGCATGATCTTAATCCCTCTTTATTTTTACTTATTAGCACTCACAGGTTAAACGAGTGAAATGTGTCAGCTGGTTCGTATTTTTTTATTTCCTAGGTCGAATTGATTTCTGAACTATCCAAATACATATGGATTGGAGTTTGTCTTTACTGATTAATTTTGATATTCTCCTGATAACTGGTAAGATCATTTTAGGTTGCACTTTCCAATTATCATTAGCGCTTTGCATTTATCTACATTCTCTACCTGGTTTGGTTTGTATTGAGGTATTAATATTTATCAAAGATAATAAGAATTTCCGAGGTTATATGCATTCGATGCTAATTGTAATTAATAAACAAGCTATTGTGAACGATATTGATTACGCGAATACTTCATCACACTCCTTTATTTTTTGAAAATTTACCACATCACAAATAGAGCATCTCTGTAATTATACCTGTATAGTTACTCGAATAGTAGAGCAATATACATTAGCAATTGTCTAGAAATATATACATATAAATATTATTTTCCTCATACAGACACATACATACAGATATATATATATATATAATTATATATATATATAATTATTAATCACTTTTATATATCACTTCCATGGCATTGATTTTTAAAGATAAGGTTCAAAAAGAGGTGGAGGAGCTTCAGAGTTTACGTAATAATCTACATAATGCATACATTGTGGAAAAGGGGGCTGGGTCCTGTGGCTCTTGTGAGGAAGATCCTGCACACGTCATGACAACCCGTCGCACCGTGGATAAGCCAACTCTAAATTTTCTGAAGTTCGCAAACTACCCATTTTTAGTCTGCGAAGAGGCCCCCCCATCATATATTCCACTGCCGGTACCTTATGATGTGAAAAGCGATGTAAGCAACATGAAAAAATGTGTGATGCGGATTCAAAAAGGACTTGCCGCGTACATGGAGGGGAAGGGGTATACTCCGATCACTGATTTAGCAGGGGCGACAAACCAACACAGGGATATAGTTATAGAATTTCTTAGTGAAAGCCGTGAGTTCGCGGAGCTTGCGTGGGAGGTGAGCTCGCTGGAGTCTTTCCATCGCTGGGTGTTGTCGCACTCCATCAGTTATCTTTGGAATGCCAAAGATGAGCTGGAGTACGTGCTCGCCGAAAAGGACGAGCCCCTGATCATCACTACGGCGGAGATGGACACGTGCTTGGCGAAGCTTAGCTTCAGCGAGGCGGTAAATATTCTTGAGATGGATCGAAAAAGCGCCGTCGCGCTTGAGCAGCGCCGGATGCACTCAAAATGCCATACCTACCGCGAGCATCTTCCCGCGACGGCGATTATGGCCGCCACGAGCTTCTATCTTTCCCCCGAGGAGAAATACATGTACCAAGAGTTTTTCAATGAGTCGGAGCATTGGTTACTCATGCTCAGCCATGCGATGCTCATACAGCGGTTTGCAAAGGGCCGCGCCGCCCTGCCCACATCTTCGACAAGGGCGGCCCTCTCCTCTCCCGGATCGCGAGAGACGACGGATATTGTCGTATCTGAAGCCAAGATAGGACTCACTTCACTATCTTCAGGATCTCCAAAAAACATTGAGGACGCGACCCAGCGAACTCTAAGTGCCCTCCAAGCGGAGCATGAGGTGATCACGAATCTCATGCAAACCATTCGGGAGCGCAAGACGAATCACATCTACTTTGACGCGTCTGAGGAGGAGAAACAGCGAAGCCGGACCGCGGGAATCGCGATTTACGGTTGCGTCCTCAGCGACATGAAGCTCATGGCCGATCAAATGGCGACCGCGCAGCTGTTTCTGCAAAAGTTCACGGAGTGGCTGCAGGTCTACGGCTTCAGCGACCACAATGAGTTAATGCAGGAGCTGATGGGGCGCAGCGGGCTACCCTGGCCGGTGTTCCCCTTCAACTCGAACGACCTCAAGGCGGCCGACCACCCCGCGACGCACACCCACTTCATCCCCCCGACGGTGACGTGGCACCAGCAGCAGCGCCCGCCGCGCTCGTCCTCCTCCGCGGCGTCGCGCGGGCGGACGGACGACGAGGCCGGCCACGCCCGGGCCTACCACACCC